CCCCAAAACCCCAAAACCCCAAAACCCCAAAACCCCTAAAAAAATAAATAGAATTGAAATATCTTTACTTTTTGACTCTTCTCAAAGTATTTGTAGTTTGGACAACCTCAGTTGTACTTTTCTTGACCTTCAATTCTTCAAGACTCTTCAGCTTTTTCTCTATGGAATGACTCAAAGAAGTTACCTTGAATAAGCCTTTCCAAATGCGTCCCAGGGTAATAATTGGGAATTTTTAAAACCTTTCTCACATATGTAAACCTGAATGCATTCAAGACTGTTCAATGCAAAATAGAACTACTTATCCAATATAGATTGAATGATCAAGGTAATGAAAGAAATACTGGTAATGCAAGGACTGGTAACATCAGGGATATTCTCTTTGCACCTCTATAACTTTTACATGTTTGCTTACTTTGTATATTCATTTATAGAAAGAACTGAAGTTGATAATACATTAATTAAAGAGATTGCTGCTCCTATTGTTGGAAGAATTGATGTTGAGTCAGAATATGAAAGATCTTTAAACCATAAAAATCCATCAGTCTCAATTCCAGGGTAGATATGGCAATTCATAGAAAATTCATTGCAAAGTAAAAATACTGAGAAATGAATTGGCAGCTGGATGATGTTGAACAAAGCGACAGAAGGCTTGATGTTGAATTTCCGAAGAATACTATTTAATTTTAAAAGTTTCTATAGTTCTGGCCTCTTTATTGTCAGAATATTGTTCCCTTCTCTTTTTAATATCATCAATATCTTTCTTCACTCTCAAATACTGAATTCCGTTCTTTTGAGCATACATTGCAAGTGGGGTGAAGAAAAGTCTTACTAACACTGAAGTCATCACAATACCTGTTCCAAGACCTAAGTTCAGGTCCTCAGCAATATAAACCCATTGATCAGCGATAAGATATTTGAGAGGATCAAATACTCTTAAAAAAGAATAAGTAGAATCTGTGGTCCATAATTCATATTTACCAATATCTAAAATGTCTACTTCACTTGCAACTTCCTCAGCTTTAGAATCTGAGCTGAAATGTCAGCGAGAGAAAGAGTATAATCTTGGTGAAAATGAAGCATTATTCTTTTGAAATAGCATAGATCCGATTGTCTTTACTCTAATCCTTTGACCTTGGTTAAGGAGCATGTTTATAATTTTTCAATATTTTATAATTCTTTGGGGTTTTGGGGTTTTGGGGTTTTGGGG